GAATTCATCTGGATGGACTAGCAGGCTAACGGCTAAAATTCTCCCATCCATACAACAAAGAGCTGAAAGTCTGGTAAGAAAACTCGATGCAATATTTGTGCAACAAAAATTGCACAAATATTGCAAACAAGGCGTACAATGGCTTTCTTCTTGCCACTCTTCCATTAGGCCATTCACTTCCTGCTAAAGAGCCCCCTGGTGGTTGAAGAAAAATCCACATATAAGCCGCACTGGGCTGTAAGCCGCATGGTTCAAAGCTTAGGAAAAAAGTAGCAGCTTATAGTCCGGAAAATACGGTATATGGCAAAAAAAATCTAAATGCTCTCTGGTATTGTTCAGGGGGCTGGACCAAATGTGGAGGCGGGCCGGATCCGCCCACAGGCCGTAGTTTGGGGACCACTGGTTTATGTGATGCTGTTTGTTCTCCAGAGTTTAAATCACCAATCAGATGAGTTCTTAACATAACTGGATTAAAACTTATTTAGATGTCAGAGTGTGTATATACATTAAACCTTTTGGATTTTTATATATATATAAAAAATTCAATATGAATCTCAATAAAATACATCGTAGTTTGAGGTTGTAATATGACAACATGTGGCGAAACTTCAAAAATGTTTGAGTACTTCTGCGAGGCCCAGCCCTCTGCTGGTGTTCAGAGTTGATTGGTCTCATCCGGAGCTGGTTCAGACCAAATCCACTCTGCTGCGTGGCAGGATGAAGGAAACCTCTGTGCGCCTCGTTAGAGCCGGCTGACTCACCTGCTTGTGATGGTGGTCGTAGGAGTTAATGTGGTTCTCGTACTGCTGCTGTCTCACGTACTGCTTGTTGCAGAGCTCACAGTAAAACTTGGAGTCTCCTTCATCCTACAGAGCGACAGAGAGGTAGACAGGAAACAAGAAAAATTATTTATTAGATTAATTTGACTTTATTTTTTTATGTTGAGGACTTTTGTAAATATCTAGAACTTAAGCATGAAGCAGCTCCTCTTCTCTACGGTAGGAAAAGTAACTTAAGAATATGCCCCATTATGTCATCATTTGACATTACACCAAAGATTTTCAACATCTTTTTACATTTATTTATTAAACATACAATGGTAAAATATTAGCTGTATGCACATTAAATGTCTCCATGGTAACAAGTCTGAATTCATCTGGATGGACTAGCAGGCTAACGGCTAAAATTCTCCCATCCATACAACAAAGAGCTGAAAGTCTGGTAAGAAAACTCGATGCTAAGTGAATGATTTAAAACCCAGTCTACTAATGAAAGTAGCAGGAAATACTTCCACCCATTGGCTATGATATTGGTTTCTATGGAGACTGAACAGGACATTGCTAACCAAACAGGTTGGGAGATGTGCTGGATGAGCCTGTTGGTTGCATATTGTGCAAATGAAAACATAACATTCAAAAATGAAATAAACAGAAAGGTATTAAGCTATTAATATCATGAAAAAAATTCAACAAAAACTTTTGTTGAATTTTTAATTCTATACAGTGTTGGAAGATATTTGTAAGCCTCTTAACAGATTTTGACTATTTTCATCACAACAACTTTTTTTTTTCTTTCAGCACCAGAAGAGAAAGAAAAATAAACACTGACTGTTTCTTCTGACTTCTCTACATCATGATGCTAAACATTTTGGAAGTCAGTAAATTATATTTTGGGATTTAATGCAACAGTATGTACTTAGTTAAAGAGCTTGATTTATTTAACATGAGCACAGTTAGCCAAGTGAAACTGGCTCTCTGCTGCCAGAACATTTCTGGGTTAAGCCAGATTTTTTTCTGGCTTAACCCAATGACTGGTCAGTAGTTATACTGGTCAGTAGTTATACTGACCAGTCATATTTTAAAAATGGAAACAGACTACAGACATAAAAAAATATGATTGGAAGTCTCTGGACATCCTTTCTTTGTAAGAGGTTTTTATTAAATTTTAAAGCTAATTCCAAGCTGATGCAACCTACATTAATATCTGCTTTCAAACAATACCCAGAGCATGGAAGCAGATGGTTTTGGACCAAACAGGAAGATGGAGTCGGAGCCACAAGACACAAAGTGAGACTGAACAAACCTGGACCAAATATGACCGGTGAAATAAACTCTGTAAACTACCCTTCACATCCTGTTTGGATAATTATAAATCATGACTGTCTTGAAGTTAGTCATGAAATTAAAATGAAAACAAAACTGTGTAGGTGGGATGGTGAGTTACAGTCAGAGGAAGCATATGCAGTAAAATGTGTTTATGGTGATGTGTATTCATCTTACTCAGGCTTTTAATTTGTTACCTGTCATATGGAGTGAGAGAGTGTGAGTGAGTGTGTGTGTGTGTGTGTGTATTTTCAGGCCTTTCCCATATACGGTGATGGTGTCTCTTAGGCTTCCAGTAGCTAATGGGTTCTTCAATCACAACTACTGACCAGTGAGAAGATGAACAAACACAAAGAGAGACAGATGCCTGCAGTTCCACAGAGGAGTTTACAGGCACTCAGCAAATCAATCAATCAATCAATCAATCAATCCATCCATCCATCCATCCATCCATCATTTAGAATAGATCAGAAATATTCTTTATTGTCCCAAAGTGAGGTTATTGAAACGCACAAGCAGCAAGATAAAGGAAAATGGAAGCACATTCACACAAAGCTAAAATGAAAAATAATAAGAGACAGAACAGTAAAGGGCAAATTTACAACATAAGACAAATGATACTTAAACAGCATAAACACTAAAAGAAATTAGCAACAAAAACGGTTTTTGGTGTTTCAATATTTATTTGCAACAAGTGTTTGTTTCAGAGTGGGATGACTAAGAAACAAAAACATCACTATCTTTCTTTTGTTTGTTTTTTTATATAAATGCATCAGTTTGAATTTATTGTGGATTTTCTCCAGTCCAGCCTCCATACGTACACAACCACAAATTAGCAAGCTTCTGCTATAACATTCAATTGGTAGAACTCATTTAAACTGGTCGGTTTTCTGGAGGAAAAAAGTGGCTTTACAGCATAATCCAGGAAGTTCATGTTGAGCTGTTCCATCCTGTCCTGCTTTATTTATTTCAGAACAAGTTATGATACGTGTTTCACATTATGTGGCTAGAAAACCTGTGGACAAAACGGTTGCTCTGTTTAACGTGACATTTTTTAATGTGCTGTCCTTGATGAAATTCATTTGAATAGAATTGTCCAGCATTTTTCCAAGAGTTGCCGTAGCAAACCTCCAGTCGGAGAAGCTCTTGCTTTCCACCATGCCATTCAGTATGGGACTGTATGAACCGTTACAACATTTCAGAGGTGCACATTGCGGAAACTTTGGTCTGTATAAAGGAGTGTGTTTGCTGAAATGATGTAATTTAGCCGTGGGCTGGGTGCCTCGCAGACCACACAGACGTATTAAGCAATAAATCAAGCTTTAATCCCTCACTATTAATGATCCAACTCCAGACTTAGGTCAGTTTGAATTCATGTGTTATTTACTTAACTCCAAAGGTTTCAACATGGCTGAGATTACTTTCTGTGTTTGTGTATGTCTTTGTCTAGCTCTAGTTAAGCTCTAGTTAAATGGCCATTTTGTAGCACAGTGACGTAACAATGTTAACTTCAGTTGTTACAAAAATGCTATATAAATAATATCTGCTTTAAAAGACATTTGGTTTAATTTATTGCATTGAAATCGGGTCTCTGTCTCTTCAAAGCTGCTCCTTGTAAAACTCCGCTTACAGGAAGTCAACGCAACATGGCTCCTCTATTAACTCTTTAACATTTTTTACTTTAACGGTTTTACCAGCTTTGCACTGAGGAGTAGTTTTTGTAAAGAACTCAGCAGATGTGCAGTTCCACCATGTGTTTGCTAATTGCTATGGCTAGTCTGAAGGAGCTGAGTGGAGGAGGGCTGCTGTGTGAGGATGAAGCTCTGAAGTTTGGAAACTGTGTCTCGAAGGCGGAGGTAGGTCCATCCAGGCATTTTGCACAGCTAAATGGTTGTCATGGAGATTAAAAAATTTCTCAAACATGCATGAATGAATTAAGGCAACACTCCAGGTATATTTTTGATGAGGGAATAACATTATAACATGATGTAAAGCTCAAAAAAGTTGACTTTACCTAATACTTCCCCTTTAAACAGCAACTAGCCTAAAAGCCTATTCAGTTGCACACAGCCTTCCACATCCACACAGTTATTTCTTAGCAACCGTTTCCATTTTCACTGTCATTGAAGACCCGCTGACCCATCATCTTCATAACCATCATCATGTCAGTAAGACCCTCACAGCCATGAAGAAAACACCCACTGGCATCAGATCAAAATATGATCATGAAATTATCTGCATGATCTTTTGCTCTCTATTTGTTTCACAGCCTGAATAGTTAAAGACTAATGTACTATTGAATTAGGAGAAGAGAAATCAGCCTACACACTCCAACATAGAACTAGAGAACATTGCTCAGGCAGAAAATATTAAATCAAACTGAGTTTCACCGATTATATTTTTTCATTCCTGAACTCACTCAAGGTCTTATCTGAATATTTTGACAGTCCTGAAGCTTCTGACAAACACACAGCTGATGGAAGACAGATTCATCTTTAACAGTTAGCAAAAAAATAAATAAAAAAAATCAATCTGCGACTTAACCTTCAGTTAACCAGAAGATTTTGTCTCAGAAAAACGAACTTAAAGCCTTCTGGAGAGGAAAAACCTCAGACTAAATAATTATAAAGAACAAATCAAAGCAAAGGGGGGAAGAAACCTGCTCTGTTAAATCTGCCCACCATGTTTCAGTCAGCATTAGCTCCTCAGACTAGTGATTACAGCATCTACCATAATCCCATTAAGCATCAAATTTATGTTGCATTATTCTATTACCAAACGAAACATTACATTTGCAGTATTTAATCAGGGATGGCATTGCTTTGCATTATGTCATTAAAGATGTCGTGGGGTTGCATTAGATGGCTCTCCGTGTCCATTAAACATGGCCAGCTGGGCGGCTTGGAAATTGCCGTTCAGTAATCTCAAAATTAAAACACATTACAGCTCAGAAGCTTTTTCTGCGCAGCCTTCACTGCGAAAACAACAGGACGCGTTCGCTTGCTGCCATGAGGAAATCGCTTTTTTTTTCATCCAGTTGAGGGGGAGATTTGAGGAAGGGTTTGTGGAAATTGCCTGACCTATCGTGTGAATGAATTTTTCAAAACCCACAGGAGCGACTCTCTGATGTACAGCTGAGGAGAAAAACTGACCTCCTGAAGCCAGGCAGCTTACCAGCTTTCACTGCAAGGTTGTAAGTGTGCAAAATTACCTCTGAAAGCAGCTTATTGTGTCTCACTCTCCTCCTCTTCAAACGCGTTTACGTGTGAAACCGTAGATACAAACGACGGCGGAACATTCTAAGAATTAGCTCAAATTACAGCCAGATTAGCAGAAAATAATTGTATTTTAGAGCTGTGAATATTAACGCATTGACACTAATTAATCTGAAAATTTTAACACCTCAATGTTATGTAAGGCAGATTAATCTACCTACGATGTTGACCTAAAACCCTCGCTCCGGCGGAGGGATACCAGTTCACAGCAGCTCGTTATCGGCCTGAGTCACAGGGAGAAACAAACGACGGCGAAAACTGAATGTTTTCTGCGACACGCCCCTTTTTGATATGCAGTTGCCCAAATCAAAAAGGGGCGGAGCAACCAAGAACTAGAAAATAAAATGTCTTATCTAGTGGAGTAGGTTTCCCTGTTGAGTCTACATTACCTGCTTTCTGCTGCTAAAACCCCAAACAGATATTAATTGAATTGGTTGGAGAGCAGCAGAAGGCGGAGCTTGCCCAGAGCACCACTGTAAACCACAACTACGTCTATATT